TTAGCATTGGGGTGGCAGGTGCCAGCTGCCTGCGTGGGGGCTGGGGGAGGTGCTGCCGGACATCGAACTCGCGTCCCATCCTGGGGTCTCCAGTGCTGGGACGGGAGTTGGACCCTGGTCCCGGCACCAGGCAGGCCCCATTCAGATGAATGCTGGAGCCTCAGGGTCTCCCCTAGCCAGGGGGTCGCTGAGGTGGTGTCTGAAGAAGCGGGTGAGGGGATCGCCCCCGACCCCGCCATGTCCCAGCCGCGTCTCCTGCCTCTAGGAGGCTATGGTCATCCCAGCTCCGGGGGCTGTGTCTGCTGAGATGCAGGCATGTTGGGACATGCCAGTCATCACTGGGGGCCCGAGACAGGACCCTGGAACTGGGCCTGTCCTCAAAATCTGCACCTGTGCCCTAGGCAGGGAGGACACTGATGAGGGTGCAGGGTGGGAGGTGGCCGAGACCAGTCCCGGCTCCTTGGCACTGAGCAGGGCCCGCTGGTTTCCAGGTCCCCAGACCACCGCGGCCGAGAACCCTCTGGGGTGCTGGACGCTGGGGGGCTCCTTGCGGAGCTGAGCTGAAAAGGTGGAGACACCTTTCTGCCAGTCCGGGGGAGGCACTTCAGACCTACTTTATGCCAGTCGGACGAAGGTCCCAGCACAGTCCGCACGTCTGCAAACGAGCCCGTTTAATGCGGTTCAGGCCTGGGTCTGATCAAACTGTTTCTCCTGCATCTGTTTGAAAGCAGCAGAAAAGGGTCCGTTCGTCCCGCGGCTGGAGGGGCTGGGCACGAGCAGCTCTCCAGGGGTCCCTCCCCTCGGGCTCCGAGGCATTTGCAGACTTGGGTCCCAGAGGCCCCAGGTGCTGGGCCATGGTGTTCGCTGCACGAAGGAAGCAAGAAGCTCGGGCCTGTCGGTGCCCGCAGCCTCCGTGTCCCTCCGTGTATCCCGCCCTTTCCCTGCGCAGCCTGGGGCCGGTGGGGGGTCACGGGGGTACCCGGCTGGCCCCCTGACCCTGCCCTTCTGCTTTTGTGCAGTTTGGCCTCTGGGCCGCCTGGCTGGCGTGGCTGGCCGTCACCACGCTGGCCTTCCTGAAGGTCTACCACAACTACCGCCAGGAGGACCTGCTGGACAGCCTGGTGCACGAGAAGGAGCTGCTGCTGGCCAGGCCGTCCCCGCGCGCGGCCTTCCAGGAGGAGAAGAGCGCCATCATCTAGGTGTGGCAGGGCGGGGAGCCGGGCCCAGGTCCCTGCTGCGCCCAGAGCCCTAGGCCTGTCTTGGGGAGCGGCTGGGGGCTCTGCCTGGGCCCCACTCGGCTACGCACAGCTCTGCACGTGTTTCCCTCACGCCGCGGGTGGTGAGGTGAGCCTGACAGCTCACTAGGGGGTGCCAGCTCCCCGACAAAGATGGCGCAGAGAGACCATGGGGCACCTCCAGGCCTTGTGCAGCGCCACACACCTGTCCCGGTGGGACCTGGCCCTCGAGCCTGGGCAGAGGGCTCCCAGCTGGTCTCTCAGACCCCTCTGGCCACCTGCTTGCGGGGGAACTGCCCCTCTGGGCCCTGGGCCCACACCGGCTTGCCCAGGAGGTGGCCAGATGTCCCTCCCATCACCTGCTCCTGAACTGTGTGTGGGACACGAATTCTGCATGACACCTGTGACCTGGGGCAGAGGCCCGAGTTTGGGAAGGAGCTCGCGGCACCTCCAGCCTTCTGGCCACAGGCAGCCCCCTCCCTGGGCTAAGTCCCCCTCCAGATTGGGTGCCAGCCCTGGTGGCCAGGCCTGGTCTCAGCATGGAAGATGCAGGGACGTGGTGTCTGCCTGGCAGCAGGTGGTGGCTGTGAGGACGGATGCTCCTTCAGCGGTCCCCTCTGTTCTCTGCCGCAGGACTGGGGAGCGTGGTGCGGCCCGGCTCAGAGAGGCTTCCCCGTGTGTGGGCTCGCCCGAGCTTGGGGGAAGGGTGGAGGCAGGGATGTGTGCTCCGCAAAGTGGGGCATCATTTGTAGGGGTAGAAAGGGGCACACGTGCCACACCTGGAGGATGGGGCCAGGTGCCATGGCAGGTGTCTGTGTGCAGGCAGGTGCGCATGGGAGGATGTGATTCTGTGTGTGTGAGTGTGCATGTGAGGGTGTGAGTGTGTGTGTCAGTTGGGAGGAGTCGGGAGGGGACCAGGGACCTGGCCTGGGGCTCTGAGCAACTGCAACTCCCCCAGCCATGCTGCTGTCCACCCCCTGCTACCAACACCCACCTCCCGGGGATGGAGAGGCCTGCTGCCTGTGTCAGCCACTCGCCCTGTCCACCACGGCGGCTGGCTTGTGTCTCTGGGGGAGGCGTGGGGCCCCCAGAGCCCTGGGCCTGGCTGGGATCGAGGTGCCTGGTGGGGCTGTCGGCCTGGCTCTGGGAGTGAGGCTGGCCGGTGACTTGGCAGCAGGGGGCGGGGGCGAGGAGCCCGTCCAGGTCCAAGGCTGGTGGGTGAGGTGCTGGCTTCGCAGAGGGGTCTGGCCCAGGGCAGGCAGCAGGGTCCTCCAGGGCGAGTGTTTTGACAGAGTGTGAGGCCCTCAAAGCCAGTCTGGTCTCCCCTGGCTCCTTGCACCAGCCCTGACCCACTGGACCTGGGGACTCTTTCCTGTCCTGAGAGACCCTATTTGTTTCCCCAGGCTCCGGGTTTAGGCCACTGCCGACTGGGGTCCCGAGGAGGGCAGGGGCAGGCCCGGCTTCTGCAGCCTGAGGGTCTGCCTGGGTGGGGCCTGCCCTTGGCCGCTGTCCCTGCTGAACTCCGGGGGGCTAGTCCGGGCAGCCCGTGGTCAGGGGTAGCAGAGGCCGTGTCCGCCTGCACACGCATGGACCTGCCTTGGGCTGGAGCTGGGCCCAGCCCCCAACACCGTCGCCAGGGGTCCAGGCAAGGGTGGCCAGCCCCGGGGGTATCGGGCGGAGCGGGCCTTGCCGCGGCTGCGTCCCCTGGGGCTGTGGCCAGGGGCTCCTGTGCGGGACGGGTCCGGGCTGCTTCCCAGGCGCCACCACTCCCCTCCCGGCTTTCGGTGGTGGATGTCCTTGTCCGGGTTCTGCCTGTGGCTCAGCTGCATGTGCAGATTGTGAAGCTTACCGATGTCTGTTTCTCAAAGTCAAAATAAAAACAGAAGCCCAAGTCTCTAATTCAGGTGCGGAGGATCGTGTCCCGTTTCCCTCGCGCACTCTGCCGTCCTGTCTGTTCCCTCGCGGCGGGTCCCGTCTCCCTGCTTCCCTGGGGCTTTCCCCGGTGGTGGGCAGATTTTGAAGGATTTCTCAGGGCCGTGGGTGCGTCCTTGAGCAATCCTCATTCGGGACTGATGCGGGTCGTGGCGTCGTGGGACCCCGCAGCCGCGTGTCCTCCCGTTGCCTTTGCAGTGGCTGCCAGACCGCGAGGAGGGAGCCGCCTTCACCCCACACCACGGCGGGGAGCCGGCCCCTCAGGCGGCGTCCCCCAGCCACAGCCAGGCTTGGAGGGGCCCGGCCTGTGACCTAACCCCCTGAGCCTCTGTTCCCCACACGGAATAAGGGGCAATGACCTGCCTGTCCTCGCAGGGGTGCGATGAGGTGAGACGGGCATGGGGAGGCTGGGGCGGGGCAGGGGCAGCTGTGGGGACGGCATGACACAGGAGGGTCCCTGAGGGCCGGTGCCATCCTGTGAAGCCCCCACTGTGGTCGCTCTAGGCCACTTCTGGAGAAGAGCCCCTTTCGTTGACCCTGCCCCGGCTCCCTGAATTCAACAGCTAGAAGAGACCCAGGCTGGGGATGCAGGGATGTGCCCAGAAGGACCAGGGCCAAGTGGGGGACACGCAGGAGTCGGGCAGCCTCGGGCTCAGGGAGTCCCCTGTGCCGGATGCACCCACTGCCAGGAGTGGACGGGGGTGGCGTCTGCTCTGGCCACCAAGGTGAATTCCTCAGCAAACTGGCTCCCAGCTTTCTCGTGTCTATGAAAATTCCAAGACAAAGATGTCGAGGTGTGTTTAATAGCAGTGTCCCCCATGTGAGTGGTGGGGGGCTGATCTCCAGCCCCTGCAGGGCAGCAGATCACTGGCTCTGTGCCCTCGAGTCCTAGGCAGGCCCCGTGGACACTCATGCGACTGTCCCAGTGTCTCCCGGGCAGTCCCTCCTGGTGTCTGACCTTGGGCCTCCCTGCTTTGTTCACTCCTCCCCCCACGCGGGGTCTGGAGGGGCCTGGGGTTTGTCACCACAGGGCACCCCTGAGCCCTGCAACTGGCTACCAGAGCTGCGTCCATGGATGGTTACAGGGACCCACAGGCCCCCAGCTGGGGGCGGCACCGGCTGGATCTGGGGTGTGGCCGCATCCCCCACTATCATTGGAGCGAGTTCCGAAGGCCTGAGAGGTCTGGGCACCTTGCCCTTTGCTGTCCCCTCGGCTTCCACACTCGGCCCTGATGACTCTTCCTCCTGGGCCTCCCCAGGCTCGTGTGGCTGAGGGGTCAGGCCTGGGATCAGGGGACGGCACCCCGACGCCAACACCAAGGGGCCCCATGTGACCTGCAGAAGGAGGTGCCCCTCCGACAACCAGAACCTTCTCTCCCAACCGGGCAAGGAGGTTTCGAGGTCTGGGCTCCAAGCAGTCCCACAGACCTGGGGCGGGGCGTCCCTGTCCTCGGAGGCTGCACATGGTGACGTCCGGGTCAGGCCTAGAGGCACCAAGACTCCTGCCGCGGCGAGGGAGGGGTCTCTGGGGCAGCCGGGGCGGGGCCAGGGCCTGTGGTACCCACCTGTCAGTGGCCAAATCCTTTTCCTATTCAATCTCACAGTGCACCCCGATGCATGGAACCACAGGGGCTGTGCAGATTGGCATGGGTGGGGCTGCCTGCCATGTGGCCCCCCGACGCCATGTCTGAGGTCACGCCTTGGGGGCCCCTTTTCCCGTCCTCCACTGCAGCAGCCGTCTCAGTCCCCCAACCCTGGGGCAGCACCAGAGCCAGGGCCACCCTGCGGCCCCGCCGGCCCGGGGTGCCCACAGGTGCCGCCGTCCAGCACCCGTCAGAGCTGCAGGAGGCAGCGCCAGCAGGTAAGGGCCACGTGCCGCAGGTGCAAGAGGAGGACGTGGAGCCGGGCCCGGAGGTCCTCCAGGGTCATCGCCATGGGCTTGGCCTGGCTGCAGTAGAGGCCCAGAGCCGCCGCCAGCAGGATGCACACGGACAGTCGCAGGAGCCGGGAGCCGCGGGGCGCGGGCCGGCCAGGCGCTGGGGCAGAGGGCGCGGCAGGGTCAGCCCCTGCGGGGTTGGTGGGGAGGGATGGGGAGACCCAGCTGTCGCCGGTGGCTGGCACCAGGGCCGTCTCAGGCCTGGGTGCCTCCCTGGGGAGCACCGATGGGATGGGGATCCCAGCCTGGCCCTGCAGAGGCCTCTGCACTCGTGTGCTTCCCTGCAGCAGAGCCTCCCGCCAGGCTGCCCTGTGGCACCGCCCTTGGGGAGGGGACAGGGCAGACTGCACCCAGGGAGGGGGTGCTGGGAGAGGGGGTGCAGGCTCAGAACTCACCCCTGGTGGTGGCCGTGGCGTCCCTGCCAGCGATGTCTGGGAAGGAGAACCGCGAGACAGCTGGGGGCGCGATGCCTTGGTCTGCCACACACCTCGCCCCACCCTGCCCAAAGGACCCTGAGAGGGATGGAGACCCAGGCTGCGGCAGGGTCAGGGACACCAGGGACATGAGGGATGCGGTTGTATTTGCGGGCTGCTGTCTCATGGACCCGACTGCGTACGTGGCCCTGCGGAGGCAGGACAGGCGACCGTGGCCTTCCAGGGCTCTGTGGGCCCCCCCGGGTACCCGCCTCCCCCCGCTTGCCCCTTACAGTGGACGGCCTCCTCCGGGGGCTCTCGGAACCGCACGCGTCTCGAGGTCCTCCGAGGCTGGGCTCCTGGGCCGGGGCGCTCTGGCGGGCTGCGTCTCAGGATGGAGGGGGGACACGTCCTGTCACCCTCCTGGGGTGGGGGTGGGAAGCAGGCCATGAGCCCCTCGGCCACCCTAGCCAGAGGCCCCACGCTGCCCCACGGCTGCTCCATCATGCTGAGACCCCACTGGACAGTGCCGAGTGGTCGGGGTCAGTGACCAGCAGGCCTGGGTCTCAGCCATGCTCTGTCCCGAGCCCGGGGGCCCATGAGCGTTGCTGTGTTCAGTGACAATGGCAGCACTGGCGCTGCTGCGGTTGACAATGCCCTGGAGCTCTCGGGAGTCAGGGGCTCTGCCCTGGCGCCCAGGCCTGGAGGGGCCAGAAACCGACCTGGAGCCCCTGGCTCGTGCCTGGCTTGTGTGACACATGCACTGGACCTCTGCCACGTCCTGTGGTCGGGCTGAGGGGCGGAGCCTGGAGGGGCCCCCGGCAGGAGGGACAGCCCCTCGGCCCCTTCCTCTCCTCCCGCCTGGCCCCTCCCCCGCGCTGTCCCACAGGCCAGGCAACTGCTCAGCACCAGGGGGACTGCACGGGGACCCCGGGACATGCGGGCTAGTGGAGGGGGCTGCGGTGGGGGAGGGTCCCTGGTTTAGTGGCCAGAGTTTTCGAGCTCCACAGGGCAGGGCAGGGGCTGCATGTGGCAGGAAGGCAACAGGCTCTGCGTCTGCTCCAGTCTGGGCACCTGCAAGCCGGCCGCTTGGTGCCCTCAGCGGTGTGGACAGCTCTGCGAGCCCCTGCCCTCACCTGGGAGGCCCGGGCCTGGGCCCCTCCTGCTCGGCGCCCACCTGCTCCTAGGAGAGCCCTGCAGGTGCGTTCCTCTCCTGGGCTCCTCGGTGACAGCCTCGGCCTGTCCACTTCTCTCCATGCTCCCCCTGGTCCGACCCCCTCCTCCCTGGGCTGCTCAGCCCACAGTCCTCCGTGGCTCCCACTCTCTCTGCCTCTGCCCAGTGCCCCTCCCTGCCCCTCTGACTTCCCTCTGGCCTGCCCATCCTCCCTCTGGCCTGCCCGTCCTCCCTCTGGCCTGCCCGTCCTCCCTCTGGCCTGGCGTGCTGCTCGCCCGCCCTGGGCTCTAGCCCGATGCTGTGCAGAGCTGCCCATCCTCCTGCTGCACCTTAGGTCATGCTGTGCCCCATCTGGGGTCCCTGCCCCCCACCAGGCCAAACCCTTCCAGGTGCCCTTCTCGGTGTCCCTTGTCCCCCTGCCCCCAGCCCCAGGTTCCTGCTTCAGGGCGAGGGCAGGGGGACTTTCCTCCTCGGCTCCGGCCTCCGCCCGCGCAGTACACGCCCAGCGCATGGAGTCACGCCTCGGGGCAGCCGCCTCACCCTCTCCGCCCTGGACGTCCGCGAGCCTGCAGTGGCCCCCTCATTCTTTCTGGCCTGACGTCGCGTCTCTGGCCGGGTGCGGGGGCTCCAAGCTGGCGCGGCTGCCCTCATTCACTGGAGCGTGGTCCCGAGACAAGCAGAGACGTGATTCACTGCACAAGTGACAGTGGCAGGGACACAGACACGGGGAGAGGCACGGTCTCCCCGGGGGTCCCTGGTCTGGGGTCCTTGGAGGGCATCGCTGCCCCGTGGTGTGGGGCGAATGTGCGCGTCTCCTCAAGTGAGGGCTCTGCTCTGTGCACAGCACGACTCCCTCAGGGTCCCCAAAGGGCGCTGCCGCGAGGGACGCAGGGGGCCTGCCGGGGGGAGCAGTTCGGGTGAGGACGGCCGTGACCGCAGGGGCTGCCCGTGCAATCGTTCAGCTGGGAGGTGGCAGTGGCTGTGCTGGGTCCCTGGGCGGGAGTAAATATCGCAGACGAGCAGAGCGCCCGCTAATGATGTCTGCGCGGACGCTGTCTGGATGGGCTCAATTATTTCAAAAGGAGCAATTTTCTCCTATCGCAGCGTCAGGTTTTTATTGCAAATAGGGTCGTGGTGGGAGCTAGCGAGCCCTGGGGGTGGGGCGGCGGGGGCGGCCTGTCTCCGAGGTGTGCTCTCACAGAGGTGCTCACAGCCCCGGCCTGGGGGGCCTGGGCCTGAGGTCGCCAGAACATGGGGCAGCGTGACCTTCTTGGTGGTGCAGCCATGGGGCGCCAGGCCTGTCCTGGTGTTTGGAGGACGCTGCCCTCAGGGTGACCTCAGCCAGCTGTCCGTGGCAGCACTGGGGCTGGAGGGGCTCTGGGTGCCTGGACTCGGCTTCCACCCTGGGCAGGATGGGCTGGACTAGAGACCCCAGTGACCATAGGACATGGGGCCTGGGCCCTCCCACCCCAGGTGGAAGGAGGAGGCCTGGCGTCTCCCGTGGCCGGGAACCCAGGGCAAGTGTGCTCCGGGGGCCCAGCTCCTCCTGGCGCAGCCCCACAGCCAGCCTGCCGCGTCCGGCTGGGCCTGCCTCTCACGAGGAGCGGCCTGGAGAGCTGGGGCCGGCCCAGCCCCCCGACCTCTGCCTGCACTGCTGGCAGCACCCGCTGTCCTGCCCAGGCCGGGCTGAGGTCTGTCCCAGGGGCTGTGGGACAAGTGTGAGTGTGTGCACACGTGTGAGCATCTGTGTGTTTCTGTGCCTGAGTGTGTTTCTCTGTGTGAATGTGCATACGTGTGATTGTGTGTCAGGGCGAGAGTGGGTACATGCATGTGTCAGTGCGTGTGTGTTTGTGCGGGAGTGTCGGTGCATGTATGTGTGCACGGAGGTGTGACTGCATATGTCTGTGTGCATGTACTTGTGTGAGCACATGTGAATGCATGTATGTGAGTATGTGTGTAGGTGTGCATGTGTGTGAGACTGTGCGTGTGTGTGTGACTGTGTGTGCATGTGTACGCGTGAGCACATCTGTATGAGCGTGCATGTGTGTGTGAGCGTGTGGACGTGCATGTGTGCAGGGCGTCTGCAGGTGCCTGGCTGTGACATTAATGCCTGTTGCTGGGCAGCATAACTTGGTGGCTGTGCGTGCGGGCTCCAGAGCACCTGTGTGACCACGTGTGACCTTGGGCAAGTCTCTTACCCTCTCTGGGCCTCAGTCTACTCAGCTTTAGAGTGCTCCGTGGGCTCTCGTGCGGTGAGCGCGTTAGTGCTCAGACACGGGCCTATGCCAGAGACATCGGCTACTGCTGTTCCCCAGGGAGAGGGTGGCTTTGCCCCCAGGGAACCGAGCTGGGATGGTTCTGTGTGGACAGGACGACGTCCCATGTGCCATCCTGAAGGTCACGCTGCACCCCACGTCCCCAGGCCCCCTTTCCCCTGGCGTGCTCCAGCTCTGCAGGCCTCTCTGGAGCCCGGGGCCTTGCCAGCTGTGCGCTGTCCTCCCTGGCCTGGCCGTCAGGACTGGGCACCGTGCGTCCCCTCAGGAAGGGGGTCTGGCTGGCGTCCTGGGCTCTGTCCTCTGTCTCTGTGACCTCTGTCACGGGAGTGCCCTCCCTGGGTAACGTGGGGGAGGGGTGGCTCTGACACGCTCAGCAGAGACAGCGAAGCCTGCCCCCGTGTCCCCCACCGCCGGGCGCGGGAGGCCTGGGCCCCCGAAGGGACAGCGTGTAACTCGACGCTGCTCTGAGCGGCTGTGACAGATGGCGATAAAGGGTGGAAAATAGCTGCGGGAGCCCGGCCTGCTGAGTGTCACCGCCACGCCCACTCCGCCTGCCCAGTGTCACCGCCACGCCCACGGCTTGGGGCGGGCACGGCCACCTGGGGGGACACCCCTTGCTCTGGGAGAAGGAGCCCGATGGAGCCTCCCTTAGTGCTGGAGGCTGGACAGAGCTTCTCACGCCAGCTCCTCCGGTGAGGGGGCCACGGGCTTCCCCAGTGGTGAGGGGTGGGGAAACTGAGGCCCAGAGAGGGAGAGCCTCGCTCGGGTGTGGGCCTGTTGGGCCCGCCCTGCTGGTGGGAGGACCTGAGTCCGGTGGGCACCGGCTGTGGCCTCCCGTGGTGCAGACAGACCCTCCCACCCCGCCTGGCCCTGCAGCCTCTGAGAGCCGGTGACGGCCGCGACGGAGCCCAGGCCCAGCACTGAACCTCCCTGCTGACCCGGCCTTGGCCTGTCCTCTCCCTCCAGCTCTGGGGTGTCGAGGCAGGCGGGTGGCTCTCCCCTGGTCCGGTGCCTCAGATAACACCAAGCCCGGGGCCCGGCCACCCACTCCAGCCTCACTGCTGCAGGACACCACCCGCTAGGTGTCCCCCCTTCTCCCGGGGCTGCCTGGCGGGAGGACTCGCCACCTGTCCCACCTGCCCCAGCGCCCACAGCCCACTGCCCGGCGATGTGTCTCCATCCTTACCACGGTCCCTCGGGGCGAGCAGGGCCCTGAGCTCAGCAGCCGGCGCGTGGTGGACCCTGGACCCCAGCCCCGACAGCCCCACGTGAGGAGGGCCCTTCCTCAGCTCTGACCATATGGCGGGCACCTCACACGGTGCCTGCGCCGCTCCCAGCTCACCCTCACCCCGTGCTGTGCCCGTTCACTCCACAGACCCAGCCTCAGCGGCTGGCGGAGCCGCAGCCTCAGCCCCAGGAGCAGGGGGTCCTGCCGCAGGTGCAGCCTCCGCCAGGGCGTCCGCTCGGGGCTGAGACCTCGCCTGAGAGGACACACACGCCGCCCCGCCCCCACGTGCACACGCGGCCCGGCCCACCTGGCTGCTGTTGGTGCTGCACTCGGGGGCGCTGGCCCACCTGACCTCCCGAAATCCACCGGCGACCAGAGCCTCCCTCCGGCAGGGCAGGAATTGGAGCTGCCACGGCTCACGCCCCAGCTGAGAAGTTTCCATTACAGTGACACGGACAGCGTCCCCAGGGCCCCAGGCGCCTCCTTGCCCTCTGCACAGCCGGGTCCACGGGGAGGCCATCACCCACGGGGCGCAGTGGCCCCGGAGGAGCTGGGCCTGCCTCTCGCCCCAGCACCCAGGCACGCAGGCTGCGGCGCCTCCCCGCTGGAAGAAGAGCTGGGAAGCCGCGGACGCTCACGCCGGCCTCCCTCTGCGGGGCGGGGTGCACCGAGGGCCGGGCGGCGGTGGGGCCCCCAGGAAGGCCGCTCTCAGCCCAGCGCTCGGCACCGGGAAAGGCTGGCAGCTCCCCAGATGCCACGCACTTCCGACTTCAGCAAGAGCGAGAACTGGGGAGGCCCCAGGCTGGACTGACTGCCGGGCATGCGCGGGCACCTGCCCGAGGGGACAGGGAGCAGGAGCTGGGTGGTGGCCCTGGGGTGCCCTGAGCACTCGGGGCGGCAGCAGTGCCAGGTGGAGGCTGTGTCTGCTGGTGCAGGGACACCCTGGGGCAGGCGTGGCTGACGTCGGCCTCCAGAGCCCCGGGGCAGGGCAGGGGACCGCCGCCAGATCCTGGCTGGCGGGATCTGAGTGGGTCACTCTCTGTACACGTAGGATGGGGGTGTTTGCCGTTGTCCCCGGCCTGTGAAGGTCAGAGGTCATCACACAGCAGGGGCCCAGCAAACGGCAGTCCTGAGCTGGGGGGGTCCCGGCCCATGGCGGAGCAGGACGGGGACTCCTGAGTAGCTCAGCCCAGAAAAGAGCCGGTTCTCTGGGAATTCCCAGATGCTGAGGCCTGGGCTCATGTTACCCAAGCAAAGAATCCGTTCCCGCTGGGCCGGGCCTGCATAGACCTGCCCTCAGCAGAGCACCCCCCCAAACCCTGGCCATTTGGGGAAGGTGTATTCGCGCCTGACCCTGGGCCCCTGCCTTTCCCTGAGAGCACAGCCCCCTCTCGTGCCCCAGACCCCGCAGTCTGCTGCCCCGGACACTCCACTCAACTCAGGGTGCAGTTTGGAGGCTCTTGTGCAGCCAGAGAGCCGCGCTCCAGCTTCTGGGCTGAGCCGGTTGTGTTCCCCGCTCCCCGGACACGGCCAGCCGTGGACAGAGTGTGGATGGGGGCCAGGCCTGCCGCCGCGGAGGGCGTGGAGCGCCAGGGGCCTGGACGGCACTGAGTCCACCGCCATGCCCCTCCGCAGAGGAGAGCTGGGGGCTTCTGGGGCCACCAGCCGCCCTGGTTTGCCTGGGACCAGCTCCATTTTAGGGAAACCCCCCAGTCCCAGAGGACTTGCCCAGGGTCACTCAGGGTCGTCAGCGAGTGTCCTGCCCAGTCTCTGCCCACTGCAGGCTGCCCACCTGTGGCAGGTGTCCCGCTGGCCTCTGTCCCTGGTAATCTCTCTGCTCCAGCAGCATCGCTTGAGAGCGGGAAGTGGGCGTCCACCTGCTCCCTAACCCCTAACCCCTAACCCCTAACCCTAACCCTAACCCTGCAACCGGGACTCACCTGGCTCCCTCCTGGGCCGGGGAGGGACAGAAACAGCCAGGTGCTGTGGGGTCCCCAGCGGAGCGAGGTCCCGCGAGGTCCTGGCCCCGTCTCAGCGGGCAGCGTCCTTGCTGCTCCCTCGAGAGGCAGGCCCCGGGCCGCACCTGCAGGCCGCACAGGTGGCCGGGCCCGGCCTGCCCAGGCCTCCCTCCCGAGGGCTCTGGTCTG